CCCCAAAACCCCAAAACCCCAAAACCCCAAAACCCCTTTCAATCAGTTATTCTTGAATATTTTTATTTGTGCAAATGGGTTGAGGCAAGAGCTCAGCAGATGACAGTATTGTTAGAGAGAAATCAGGAGTAGGATTCTCAAAAAGTAGCTCTATTGAGATAAAAACAGGAAACATCAGAAAAGAATACCAGTTCTTAAAATTACTAGGCGAAGGAGCCTTTGGAGAAGTTCGTCTAGCAATGCATGTAAACTCCTCATCCCCTGAATATGAGGCTAAAAGAGCTATCAAGTTGATCAAGAGAGATAATGTTGAGAATTCTGATAAGCAAGAAGAAATGCTGCTTAATGAGTATAATATTCTACGCCAAATAGATAACCAAAATATAATATAAAGATCTTTGAGCTTTGGAAGGACGAAGTATTCTACTATATTGTAACTGAATACCTAGAAGGAGGAGAATTGTACAAGAACATCTCTGAGAGAGATAATTTTACTGAGAAAGACTGTGCTGGCCTTATTAAACAAGTCTTACTTGCACTTAATTACTGCCATAAAGAAGGGATTGCTCATAGAGATCTTAAGCCAGATAATATTATGTTTGAATCAAATAGCAAAGATTCTATCTGTAAACTTGTAGACTTTGGATTTGCAAGTTTTTGTAAAAATGGCAAGAAAATGGACGATATGCTCGGCACTCCTCTTTTTATCGCTCCTGAGATTATTAGTAACAAGAAATACACCTCAAAAGTAGACATCTGGAGCTTAGGAGTAATCACTTATTTCATCATCAGTACAAACCCCCCATTCAAAGGCAGAACCAAAAGAGAGCTCTTCGATTCAATAAAATCCGGCGACTTCTCATTCAAAAGTGCACCAATATTCAGAAGGACTTCTGAAAGCCTGCAGAGTTTCATAAGTGAATGACTGGTCGTGAATCCTGAGAAGAGGGCTACAGCTGAGGAATTACTTAAGCATAGTTGGATGACTGATGTCAGTAGTGAAGAGGTCAGCGAGGATGCAATCAAAAGTAACTTGGCCACTTTGAAAGAATACTCACATCATAATAAATTGCAACAAGGAATCGTTCACTTTTTGGCTTACAAATGAGGGCAAAGAGAAGAAATTGACAATCTTTCAAAAATCTTTAGATCTGCTGATAAAAATGGAGATGGGAAGCTCGATAAATCTGAAATTAGTGAATATTTTCAGAAGTACATGGGCTCAGCCGACGATGCAGAGAACGAACATATCTATTCTTGCTTAGACGGGGATAAATCTGGTTATATTGACTACTCAGAGTTCCTTTCTGCAACTATTGACAAAGAGAATTTACTCAGGAAGCAAAGACTGATAAACATATTCAATGAGATAGACTCAGACGGCTCTGGAGATATCAACTTGAAGGAGCTTCGCCAAGCGTTCAAGACAAAGGCATCTAAATAAGACGGAGGAGGAGTGGGAGAAAATTATCAATGAAATTGACAAAGATGGAAATGACTGTATCAACTTTAAAGAGTTCCTGAAAGCAATGGATCAAGTTGTCCACCCAAAGAATTTCATCCCTAAGAATGATATCGAAGAGGATTAAGCCTGGTTACAGGGATTTAGAAGCAATGTCTCGATAGAGTGAACTGGACTTTGGAGTCATTGTAAGGATAAATGATTTGATGAGAAATTCACAATTAAAATTTGAATTTCAGTAACCAATGTATTTTAAGGGGTTTTGGGGTTTTGGGGTTTTGGGGTTTTGGGGTTTTGGGG